CGATGTGTGTTATATAGCATATCATTTTCCTTACACGTATTCACTACTTCAGGTAATCGTTGCTTCTTTATCTATTCCATTAGCAAAATGAAAAAAAAAAATGAAATTTTGCGAAAAAAACGAAAACAAAGTAGGGGCAGAGAATTTGGCAAAAGCTTTTAAGTTACACTTGTAGTTAGTCAAGACGCTATCGGCTAGATGTTTTGGCCCGCAGGGTCTTCATGTCTTTTTTTTTATCGTTTTACCGATAAAAAAAGGCATGAAGACATATTGTGCATATTCTTGAATTGTGCATATTCTTGAATGCGATTTTTAGTTGATGCATTTTTCCGAAAATTTAGTAACTTTCCGATTTATGGTTTAGTTAGCTTTCGCCAAAAATGTGTTTCATTTGCTAATTCATTTCTTTATTTATTAATTTTTTGAAAGAAATCTTGCTTTTTTGCTAAAGATATTGGAGGTGTAGGAATTCTAGCGCAAATGTGATCTAAAATAATGTGCACCAATACAACTGCTGTAACAGCTCATTGCAGTTGTACAGTGCACCTTGAAAAGGAGATGGAATGACTACGCAAAATACGGAGTTTTGTGCTCGAATTTTTGTCTAGGATGCATTTGTTAAAAGGTGCACTGTGTCACTCTTTGTCTATATCACGTGTGGGTATCCGGCGGCCGACGGGGGGAATCGGAATGTGGTGCCTAACGAGACGAATGGGGATTTGTATTCTGTCACGCCTCTGCATTCTCATGAAAATAAATAAAACTAAAATACGCACGCGACTAACAGACGGCAATATAGAAAATAGTGTGCGACTCTGTGTCAGTGATATAAATCTAGATTTCAACAATTTCTTGTCAAAAGTTTAAGCTCAAAGCTCACATTAACCTGCTGTTGTTTTCTTACTGAATGAGCAGTATAATAAAAACTTATCTATTTTTCTGCGTTTTTGCATCTTATGCTTATGTAAAAACGCATAATTTCGAAAGCATGTCTCTGTGACGCCCTTTTTCTCCGCATGCAAGAAAGGACCAAAACACAGGCACATAAGCTGCATGTGTTAGATTGTAGAGCAACAGCCATCGCACGGACAAGGCTGGTGCGTTGTTACCTGCGTTTTATTAAAAGGTGGCCTGTAAATCAGGCCCCCGTTTTGGCAAAGATTGACTATACTTGGTTAAATGATTAATAATAGTAGGTAGTATGGCGGTCTGTTACACTGCTATAAAAGTGAGCAAAATTTCCCTGATTCATTGTTTTTTCGTAGTGTCATTAAAACTGCCTTCAGCTTCCACTTGGATTATCCTCAGACTTTGAGTAAGCTTGGCAGTGGATGGCCATCGGTGTTTTCCTTATCCTTTTTCTACCTCTTTCCTGGCCGGCTGAGTGCTGAGGAAGTTTTGAGTTTTTAAAACGCTGAACATAGAATTACAGGCTACGTTGGAAAGGTATTTAACAACAAGAAAAAGACGGCTGTTTGTTCGCTGTGATAAACTGTGTACAACGTTAGCTGGTAATGAAGTACCGCTTCTTACAATAACAGCCAGTGGCACCAGAGAACAAATCGAGGCACGTCAGATTGCTGTCCTTTGTGCCCGAGTGCATCCTGGAGAAAGCAACTCGAGCTGGGTCATGCACGGTAATTTTGCGGCTCATTTTATAAGTCTAAAACATTGAAATTAATTACAAAAATGACAGGGGTCGAATGGCAGCCTCATTTCTCTTCAGTGCACAAATGCGGTGATGCGTATTAACTCTTTTTTCTGTTAAAGGTGTCATTGATGTGCTGATGAGCGAAGAGGATAAAGCTGTCCAGCTCCGTAATCAGTATGTGTTCAAAATTATACCGATGTTAAATATCGATGGAGTAGTGAACGGATCACATCGATGCAGTCTTGCTGGCGTGGATTTGAATCGTACCTGGGATCGTCCGTCCCCAGAATTGCATCCTCCTATTTTTCATACCAAAGCTATTGTACAGTATATGGTGAGAGTTCACTTTGACCGTGTCTGTTGATCACAACTGTCTTATAATCTTTTAAAATAACTGTATCTTTCGGTCCTCGTCGGTCCAGAATAGCACAGCGACAGCGATCGGGCCGAATTCCGAGACATCACTTTCGGTTATTCTCATTGAGTAGGGTATTACCTTCTTTTATTGCGTGTCTTCTAAACATAAATCGCTTGGACGTTTGGAGAAATTGCTGTAATACAGGTGTGAGTAGCAGAAACCTTAGGACTCCAATAAACTTTTGATTTGCTGGTGTCCAAGTACTATTCAAGTAGATATTTTCCAAGCTTCTCAACTCAGTAATTGTTTATTGACAAAGCTTGGAAGCGGGTAAATGTCTTCTCCCTTGGACAGCGTAAGGTAGAGAATCCTAGAATCCTAGAAGGAGCCTTGGCATCATTATTTCAGAGATCACCTGGATATATTTATTAGCAAAAACTCAAATGATTTTTTAAAAGAAATGCTGAAAATATTTTTGTACGAATAATTTGTATTGCACGATTGCATGGTATGAAAAAGACGCAAAACGTCAGCATAACTTTGATGTAAAAGAAGATCAACTGAATTATTCAATTGCATTTTAGGTGGACGTGCTTGGCAAGAAGCCTTTTATATTCATCGATTTGCACGGTCATTCCCAGCACTTTAATGTATTTCTCTTTGGAAATAATCCAGAGGAGTCATGGCTTTTTTCGGATTACTTTCTTCCTGGCAGCTGTGATTTCATGTCACTTCCATCACTTCTCGAGGAGGCATGAACATTTTTATTAACCAGTCTTTAAGCATTTGGTTCTCATTGATTTATATTCGTGTTTAGTAAGGCATACAGTTTTCTGCTAGAGTCTTTTTTGCGCTTTTTTGCCGAAGCTGAGTGATATGTGTGAAATTTTGGTAATACAGTTAAACATGTATAACTTTAAGGAAACGTTTTTATCTCAGAGGTTTATTTTCTTCAGGAATGTGATTATTTTTCGTTGTCGAATTGTCGATTTAGCATCACTAGAGAGAAAGAGTCATCAGGTCGTGTGACGCTATGGCGACAGTTTGGTGTCACGCGTTCATACACCATAGAGTCAACCTATGCTGGCTTTAACACTGGTCCTCGAAAGGGTTTTCAGGTTGGTATTTGATTTCTTTGATTTTACAGTTTCCTTTCAGTCGTAAAAAACCTTGTTCTGTTTCATTTTTCTATTTTTATGAGAAAAAACCTCTGTGATTTAACTCGAAAAAGCATTGTTATAGCGCAGTGCTCTTTGCTTCTAATTGCGTTCTGTTTCCAAAAAAATCTAGTTTCTTTTGCGAGAGGTGCAAACTGCGAACTTTTCGCACATTTCTCCTTCCCTGTCTTGATTTTTGTATGGTTGTGGGATATGCACACTGAATCAAAAAATACTATGAATTTTTTTGACGCTTAATGGATTTTTAAATAAATGCGAACAGTGTGTTCATATGAACTGGGCTAATTTTCAGGTAAATATTGAGGATTTGTTGGAAATAGGCAATCAGTTATGCAAAGCATTGAAGCAACTTATGTACATTGGTGCGAACTGGTCTTTAGTCTAATGGCACGGATCAAAGAAATCCTCCTTTTCTCTGTTTTTTTGCTAAACCAGTTGATAATATGTTTCTTTCCTTGTGCCGTTACAAATAGCACTCTTTATGTACATTGTTCTCGATTTTTCTGATATGTAAGTTCGGTAGCAAAAATAGAAAGAAAAACAAGCTACGATTGTAATTATGAAGAGATTAAATTTATTAAAAGCGGATCCGCTTCTTAGTGCAAATGTTCAATTAGTTTTTTTCTGTTTTAATTCGCTTTTTTGTTTGCGTTTAGAAAATCTGTGACCAGCCTGTAAATGTTGTTAGCCCACACAGCCTCAGAATATTCTTTGATCATTTCTGTTCAGAACTGAATGCTGCATGAAACATATGAGATTTGTCAATGATAATGCTGCGCGGTGAATCACGCCCATACGGAGCACACTTTTCATGTTAGTATAAAAGTACTGTCGGTCGCAATTTTCAAACTTTGCTCGAAGCGTCTCAAAATTCTTGAGGTGTTAAGTTATCCTCAGTGACTTTAACTTACCCTGAAGAGACGCTTGAATCAGATAAACCAACGCCAAAACCGGATGGGAGATTTTAGAAGGACCGTGGTTCTCTTCACTTTTTTGGATAGGGGACATTTGGGCACGCGTGGTGCAACTTTTGTTGTCGGAAGATTGTAAGGTTCAAGAAGGAAAGAAAGCGGAGGTTTAGGTTGAAAGGTATCTAGTAAACAAAGGGGACAGTTAGCTGGTAAGTGCAAAATATAGGTATAAGATGCAAAAATTATATCAATTAACTTTCATGTGGGACTGCCTAATTTGATGGCAACACACTCAACAAAAACTGACAATAAAAACGGACGGTGGTA